TCGCCAGTCCGCTGCCTCTGCCCGGGATAGCGCCCGATGCGGAAGGGGCAGGACCCGGCGGGTTGTTCGGTAGTATTCTGTTACCAGGTGGTAGCTGTTAAGGTGTGTGTCAGTTGGAGTGCGGAGGGACTGGGAGTCCGCGGGTGTGTTTGGCTCTGGGTCCCGCTGTATCCTGATCCCATCCGACAAAGCCCGGTTTGTCGCTACCGCTCGGGCTAGTGCGTGAGCACTTTCGTTGCCGGATAAGCCTAGATGTGCAGGGGTCCAGATGATCCGAATGACCGGTATTTCTAACCATTCGGTTCTTATGGCGTTGATGAGGTGTGCGCTCTCCAGGATTTGAGTTGCGCCCACTCAGAGCCTCACTAAGTCAGAGCCGTATGTGGGAGAGTTTGACCAGTTTATTATCTCGACGCCGTAACGGCCCCCTTCCGCGTGCGCCAAACAACCGGCGGCGCAGGGCGAGAGGCGCGAGCGCATGCGCGTGAACTCCCAGCTGCTCCCAGCTGAGCGGGGAAGGCCGCCATTCTCATTCCTTCACGCTGTTATGGCCCTGTGGAATGCATGGGACCGACATTCAAATTTCGCTTCTTTCCTTTTATTTGGTAGGCTCTGGCAAGAAAACGATATACTATACTGTAATTCCTCGGTGGGTTAAAAAGCTAAAGAATGAAGTTTTGTCGAAGTTTGACCGCAAACTTTTAATCAGGGGAAAAAGAGGTCGGCCCGTTGCAGACGACGCGGGTCCTCAAGAGTGCTCCGCGCCTAAAGCGTTTTCTTTACGGAGCTAGCACTAAAAGAGCGAGCGAACACAGTTATCCTGGTGAGCTATGGGAAGTCGGAGAGGCTGGCGCGTGAATTAAAAGCTCCTGTTCGCGTCGTTTATGTTTATTTCGCGCTTTTTAGACCATTTTATTGAACAATAAACTACGGTGTAAGAGAAATTTTCGCGTATACCCTGCTCTGATTGAACCCGACGGGGTGTGTGTGTGTGCGCGGGGAAAGGGGGGGGGGGGGGGGCTAATGATTTTGTATTTGTGGGATTTGGCAAGAATTCACTGTTTACAATGCGTTATGTTGAAAAAAAAATTTAAAAAATACGGCGCACGACGGTAAGGTTTTTGAAAATACAGGGCGAAAATACGTGGCGAAGCGAACGCAGACCATATCGAACGCCGATCACAAACCTCGCCAACTGCGCGAAAGCTGACGATGCTACTCACGTCCGATAATAATGATGATGCTGAACCCTATTAACATAGCTCCGTCAAGCGTTCGCAATGAGTGGTGCGCCGACGACAGTTTGGGGGAGCTTCGCCAGGATAAAAAGAGTAGTGCTGGCATAGTCAAAGGGGATATGAAACGAATTCTGGGTTGGGATGAATGATTTTAAACTCGGACTTTACTAATCGCATATCGTTTAGTTGGCCAAAAGAAAGAGGGTAGAGAGTCAGAAGCCAGCTTTTCGGTACAAACATTTGGAAATATAGCGGACTATTTTGTACCTTCTTTCCTTCGAAAGCTCTCCGCCTTTTCACTATGATGCATCCGCGGTTCCCAAAGCGCGTCAGCGGCGCCAACCTGACGTCAGCCGAGCCCAGCTCACGCATTGGACACGAGAACTGCGCCACTCGGACGTATGCGCTCGTCAACCATCAATCCGTCGACGAATATTTGGATTCGCGTTCGTGGGACGGAACTTATCGTTACTGGGGAATGACAAGTTCTATGGCGTGCATAAAAAGCACGGTGGAAGCTAGGAGTCATCGCACCGGTGCCGAAGAATGTTACGACTACGTGATTTCACAATTCGCATTTGAGTTGAGGATTAAAGCTAAAGAGGAAAAAGTAGAAAAATCGTTTCATGACCCCTTTAAAGTACACTGTACTAGAATACGGGGCGGTCTTGGAACCGGAGCAGCTCGCGTAAGTCGTTTGGTGTAGACACCGTGGGTGTAGATTACGATAGGAGTGGACACCGGCGCATCGGCAGTAAGGTCAGTATAGTGGTGGTGTGCGCGTGCACCGCGTGCAGGCGCAAAGGGCAGCAGAAAGTCGCTGCGGATTGCAGCGACTTTCTGCTGCCCTGTGGACCGCTGTGGACGGCAGAGCCGCGATTGTTGTCAACACGCGCAGCCTCACAAGTTCCCAATGTCGAGTCGCGCCGTATTCTAGTACACTGTGAAATGATTTTGTAGCGTGAGCTACAAAATCGTTTCACAGGGGGATCGGTGGCCGAGTGGTCTAGCGCACACCAGCTCGGAGCACGTGGAGCGAAAGCTCGCGCTGCAGAACCCAGGGATCCTGGGTTCGAGCCCCACCCCTGCCCGTTTCGATCTGGATGAGCATCGTACCGGCGTGCGGTCGTGTATCACTACTGCGTGATGCACGTTAAGGGGTATTCACACGAGGGAGAAATCCCGGGGATTTCTCCCCGGCACGCGCGCATCACGAGATGAAAACGCGAGGCTTTTGCACATCGCAAAGCCTGTCGTTTTCGTCGTGGGATGCGCGTGCCGGGGAGAAATCCCCGGGATTTCTCCCCGGCACGTGTGAATACCCCTTTAAAGACCCCAGGCTAGCGGCTCTACCGCACTGGCTAAATTTTTCATCTACAGCTGGGAGACTCGTCGCTCCTGTGAGGCAGACCAAGTTCTAGGCTGTATAAACACACACACAACCCAATTTTTTTTTTTTTTAGCGTGAGCTACACTGGCCGAGGTTGAGCAGTTTCGCGTGGCTCGCATAATAAGAGTTTTAGCAGATCGTTTTCTCGCCCCAATAACGATACCTCCACTCCGCTCCGGCGGCCTTGGGCATGCATCCTATCGTTATCGGGTGTGGTTATTGGGGCGAAAAAACGATCTGCTAAAACTCTCTATTGAGCCGTGCTCCGTGCTGCGCAAGCGCGAGGAGCAGTGACCTCACACGGCGCACAGCTGGCGCGCCGGAGCCACCGCTGCCACCGCGCGCGCACTGCGTTCGAAAAAATACCCAGGGACGTTACTGCACATTCCAGAGGAGTGACGTCATAGCCGCGGCAGCCGTACTGGCGCCGCCGCGTGCCCAGCTGTCCGCCTCCGTTGCGCAGTAGCCAAGTCTGACGCTGCACCGGAGACGCTTGATAGCACCTCTCCTTTTGCGCGCATAAGCTCACGCTACGTGTATCCTAGCATAGCCGAGCTAAGCCACCGGAATATTTTTCGACTTCTTCCTTCTTAGCATTAATCCTCAACTCAAAAACGAAATAACAGATCACGCGGTTGTGACGTGCTTTGGCACCAGAAAACGATGACTCTAAGCTTCCACCGTGCTTTTTAAGCCATGCCATGGTGTTTGTCATTCTCAAGTGATGATAAGCGCTTTCACGGCACTCATGGCCATGAACGCGAATCCAAATATTCGTGGACAGATTGATTGTTGACGAGCGCAGACGTCCCAGCGACGCAGTGCTTGTGTCCAATGCGTAAGCTGGGCTCGGCTGACGTGCTTTGGCACTGCGGATGCATCACAGTGAAAAGGCAAAGCACTTTCAATGAAAGGAGGCACGAAATAGTCCGCTATATTCTCAAATGTTCGTACCGAAACGCAGGCTTTAGGCTTTGCACGCTCGAGCATTAGTTTTATTTTGGCGCCCTACAGGATATGCTGGTAAAATTCCAATTTATCGCAGCCAAAAATTCATTTCATGGTCCCTTTAAAAAAGAGCTGAAACGTTAGTCGTGCCGTGATGTCATAAAATGAGCAGGCGCGTTTCCAATTGCATCTATCATGCAACTATCAACTTGAAATTCTTACCTCGTTTCGTCTCCGCGTCGCGTAAGCTCCTCGGATTCGCTGAGGTACCTGCCTCTTCTGTAGAAGGATGCTCGGAACTGACGGGCTAGCAACCATTTACTGGAGATAAACCTCTTCTTTGAAACGTCCATTCGTTCGGAGATATGAAACTTATGGGTGTGGAAGATCTTCAGTAAATGGTTGCTAGTCCAACAGCGTGTTTGTCTTTTCTCTCTCTCTCCCTCTCTCTGTGTGTATCTTCCTGCGTTCAGCTGGCATCTTTCAGAAGCATGAATCAACAACTAGCGCAGTATCGAGGATGCAGGATATTGTAAATTGACAAGAAAAAACGCACAAAATAAAGTAGGGAAGACGCGGAGCCCACGTGGGCCTGCGGAAAGCAAAGAAAAAAAAACTCACATGCTGCAGACCAGCGCGCCAACGCCGAAAGAAAAAGAGACGTTCGAGTCGGTTAAAAGTTCGAGCCACATTGTTTATTCAAAAAGCCGAATCACGGGGCCTCGCACCCTGGGGGCAGGGGTGGACGGCCTAGGGCCATGGGAGACAGTGATGGCCGGTGGCGCCATCTATAGATCGTGAAGACTTCACAAAAAAAAAAAAAAAAGTAATACCACACACGACGTTGGCTCTCCGAGTCGAGAAGCACCAGCGAGGAGCCTTTCGTGACATCATGTTTTCCCTTCTCCTTTTACTGCCCTCTCCCGCTGCCGCAGAGAGGCGTGGTTTCAATGCAACTTCAAAATGCGTCTTTCGAGGTAAGGCGGACAAGAATTAGTCTAGTTTTTGAGATATTCTTTTTTCCTGGAATATGATTAAACAAATGAGTGTTTTTAATCAATTTCAGAACCGTTTCAACTTCTCTTGAAATACAGCTCGGATACCAGGCGCCCCTTGGGAAATTCCAGCTGTACGAACATACAGCACACGTAATTTTAGGAGCGAGCAGATGCAGGAAACAGAGCTTCGTCGCGCACATGATCAAGCACCGCGCCTTCTCTCTTAGAGGGGAGTTTCCCACTCATGCGCGGAGGACGCGTTTCCGCTGATTGGCGCACCGTACGTAGCCTTCCGATGTTGCACCTGCTGCCCTCAAATTCACCCATTTACTCCCTCTCTCGGTACATACCGCCTACATATTCCTGTACTGAACGACATTCGGGCGTCCAGAAGAGCGAAAGCTGCCACTCCGGCGCAACCTGGCTTCACGTTCTCCGAATACCAGCTTCGATCAGCTTCGTGCTTCCTTCGGTATCCCACGCACATTCCGAGGTCAGTCGCCGTCCTTGCGAGATGAGGCTCGCATTCGTAGCGTTTGTTCAGGTGCAAAGTGGTCCTTTCTATCGATTAACGCCTTAATAGACGGCGCTTCACTGTGTGTAACTGGTTTTGTCGGTGATTGCAAGCGTACACAAAGACAAGGAGCGCAATGACGACGCACTTTTGTCGCTGTTTGATTGGCTCCACCGGAAGGTAGTGTCAGCTTCCGGTCGGACTTAAAGTAAGACGGAGTATGGTGTTACTTTGTACATGATTGTCCGTCTTATTTAATTATTAATATTATATTTGCTCCTTGCCTCGGGTTAACTTTTAGGTCACGTTTGTCCGGGAACATGTCCGCGAGAATGTTTTGGCTATACCGGACATGTCGCGCGGTTGCGTTTTGACTATGATACACTTCCCATGGACTCGAAGCTGCTTTCTTTCCAAACGTTGCGTGAAACTTACCACGCGAAGAGTATGCCGGGGAGCAAGTGGAGGGATTTCTCACCCGTGTGACAACCCCTTTATTGGATAAGTTTAAAGCCTTTGTAAAGTACTAGTTAGGATCAATTGGCCAGTATATCTGCCCTATGTATATATCCTTAGAACCACCGTATACGTAGGAAACGACCACAAGCAACCTAACAAGAATCGTGTCTACCCCACAGGTATACCTCCGATCACAACGACTTTCGACCACTATGAACCGTCAGCGCCGAGTTCCGCTCTCTCAATTCGTCGATGGCATCAGATGCTCTCCTTTCGTCCCTCCCGCTATGGCCCGCAAGGCTGCCGTTTACAGACCGGGCGACGGAGACATAATCGTCGTGACCTACCCCAAGAGCGGGACCCAGTGGACGATGCAGATCATCCAACTCATCCTAGGTCGCGGACAGGGCGCGACCAGCTTTCTCGACTTAATCAGACGATCTCCCCGCCTGGAAAACCACGGTCCGGAGGCCCTAGAAGGCTTGCCTTTGCCGAGGATGGTGACGACCCACCAAAAACTGCTCCTGAAGAACTTTAACGACAGGGCAAAGTACGTGTACGTCGCTCGGAATCCGTGGGACACGTGTGTGTCGCTCTACCATTTCATGCGGGGCATAACCGAGTTCCAGTTCGAAGACGGCACGTTCGACGACTTCTTCGAGGCTTTTGTGACGGGCGACCTATGTTACGGGGACTACTTCGGTCACGTGCTCCACGGGTACGCCCGCAAGGACGACCCGAACGTCTTTTTCTTCACGTACGAGCAACTGAAAGCGGATACCCCGGGAATGATCCTGAAACTCGCCTATTTTCTGGGTGAAGAGTACGGAAAGATGCTCGAGGGCGACCAAAATATGTTTCGGGAGATCTTGAACAAAAGCAGTTTCGACTTCATGAGCCGTGTCCTGGAGCCTGGAGCGGAGGTTACTTCGGCGGTCTTGTGTGATTTGTCCACACCTATGGGCAAGGGCAACAATATCAGTACCAAGAGGAATGAAGAGAATGGCTTTAGGTTCTTTCGGCGAGGAAAAGTGAATGGTTGGAAGGAGTTATTTACACCGGAGCAAACCCAACGCATGGAAACCAGGATTGACGAGATGACTTTGGGCACAGATCTCATGCACATATGGAATGAGAAGTAAAAAAGCGGTAGTTTGTTTCCTATTCGTGCCTTTTTCACCCATGTTGATTCACTCTAACAACTCCATGCCTCGAACAGCTTTTTGCGTAACTCTTGAAATGGAGTATAAAAGTCATCTAAGACATATTTCTGTTCAGTATCCCAGTATCTGTGCGTAAATGAGCGAACCGAAAATGACGTATTTTGTTTTTCATTCAGGGCTGCCTACGCAGGCTGTGTTCTGGTTGACATGATCAACCAAAAAATCATCTCTTGTTTGATCCATTTTTCCCCAATTTCCTTTCACATCGAAACAATCATTCCGAAATACGGCCGTGCTTGAGCTTGTTGTTTCCAAATAAATGTTTAACTGCCCTTCCTGTGTGTGTCTAAACGCATGAACTGCTCGAGGATATTTCTCTCACAGGATATGTGCCTATCCGACACAGGAAACTTTCCAGCCGTTTTTCCTTTGCGAAATTTCTAATATGGAAGTCGCACGGCCGAAGACCCTCGGCAACACAAGTACGCTCATGTAGTTTTTTGCGCACATTAATCATTCTGGATTCCAGTTATTCTTAAGTTCACGCTTGGTCGACGATTCGTTCTCACTGTGCAACGACCGTATGCATCGTCCACTCTTTAGTATATGCCCGTAGCTATATATTTCATCGCTAAGCTGACATCGCGATGGAAGCTACGAGCTCTCTGGACCAGTCACACGTCGATCTCTCGCCACGTCATCACGTTCTCGCTCATACCCGCGCACAAATGTGGAGTCAGGTGATGAAAGAAACGTCGAACGCCGGGGTTCGACGTTCGGCGTTCGAACGCCAGTCTCCGCGTGAGACGCAGACAACACTCTTACTCGCCCTGATTAGAGGGACAGGGCGGTAAGGTCAACCCACGAATCCTTGCAGTCAGAGCACGGCACTCTTACATCGCCGCACGCTGTCCATCTCTTTTCTCTCCGCTCCTCTCCGCATTATTCATTTCTTGATTAAAAGGATTCTTTTCGCGATGTCCACACAACAGAATTGTAATGATTACCGAGAGAAATGTGTTTCGTAAATATGTTGCGTGTGTTTACAAATACAGAGTCAACCCAGATTTCTCCGTGATAAATTAGGGTGACCCAAAAATTCAATACCGCGCATTTATGATTTCGGTTTTCGCTTGGTCTTAGAATAAACGCGCGATTATAAAGCGCAAAACGGGATTTACTTACCTGTATTAAAACTTTCTGCAAATAAAAAAATAGGAGGATCACAATCCTTTTCGTGTTCAGCTTTGTGTTTTCCCTAGTGTCACTGAATGAAAGGAAATGAAAGCTTATATTTCCAGAAATTTACTCTGGCGGGCCTCCAGACAAAAAGCTACCATATGGTAACTTTACTAGGTCTGGGGCCCTAAAGCAAAACAAGCATAGTAATCTGACTGAAAAGCGTGATACATGGAAAAGACCCGTTATACAGCCATATAGAGTTTCCCTTACCAACTAGGCATGTACTTCAGTAACAATAAACATAATAAACAAGTGAGAGCGCAGGAACGTTCGGAAGCAAGCATATTATGCGAAAGCGAGAAAAAGAGAAATGTCATACAGAGACGTCCGCGTTAAATAAAACACATATAGAATTCAGCTCTAGTGAGAGAGTATATATCTATATTTTCTAGATGGTACCTGTAGAGTCGAGAAGGCAATATATGGCGAGGGGATTGTAAAGCATGATCCGTGCGGAACTGAGGAACATACCATATCTCAGAGCAGCGAATAATGATTGAGATCTCATTTTTATTCAAGTTCGAGGTGCGCCAAAGAAATTCGATGGATTCATTTGTTCCGAAAAGGAACGCATACAAGAGACGGTCCACTTGCATATTAATCTTGAATTTTTCGAACAGCGGTTTAGTGTGATATAGACGCTTTCAGCGAGTCAGTTAATCGAGCAGTCACCAGTCGGCGCGCCCTCCGCGCGCTTTCCGGACCGTCATAGCCGACCTTCAGTTTGTCGCCGTTCCTCCGCGTGGTGTGCTGCATCGGCCACTACCAGAGCTTCGTTTTCGTCTTCTTTAAAGGGGTACTCCGCCGATTTTTGAGCTACCTCAACTAACTATCTTTTTTGACTCCCCAGCGTTTACCCTTTCTGGTATGCATTTTAGTATCGTAAAATTCATAATAGTTATTGCGAATTCGGCAAATGAAAATGATGCAAAAACCAACATTCAAATATACCCGCCCTTTTCACTGCCGTGACGTCAGTGGAAGGTCAGCTTGTCAGTCGGGCGAGCAGTCTAAAAAATGGAATATGCCAATCATTTGTTCCGTGCTGAAGCGCGGGTCCTGGAGCGAGCTTTCAAAGCATTCATTTGACACCATGAAACTGCTTCGAATCAGTTGGAAACAAATTCTACAGTACAAAGAGTGAACCCCGGCACTTCCAATGACGTCACTTCTTCGCTGTTGCCAGTAGAGACTTTCAGTTTGAAAAACACGGTGAGGACCAAAATTGTAAATTTAATAACTTCGTGAAAAAAAATTATTTCGACCCAATATTTGGGATACTATTTTGGCGAGGTTGTTTGGCGAGTTTAGCAAAATTTCAAGCAAATCGGGGACCATGAAGAAATCGGCGGAGTACCCCTTTAACGTTCCGCGTTGAAATCTTGCATTTTCTTTAGGTCTTTTCAAAATTTAGGACTTTCATTTAATCATTTCATATCTATATTTCGACATAGCTCTTGTATTTTCTTATTTATGGAATGGAATCGGACAGCGAATGGATCGACGATACGAGATTATGAGGCTTCAATCACCATGTAAGTTCATCACATTCTTACGTTTTTGTCGCTAAAAGGGCAGTCAACACTACTGTGACAAGTGCAAATTTCAACTGATGCAGTAAGGTTATCAAAGTCGTGCTTCTCGCTGCATGTGTGCCCTTGTTTCCGTAAAGCCGAACCGCATGTAAGCGATTCAGCGAGGGACGAGATGAGCGACGGCGACCATGACGAGAGTTAAAGACGAGCGACGGCGATTTCTCAACGTCGCCCGTCGTGTCGCTCGGTTTTTGGATTTCTAGAAAACGTCGCTCACTGTCTTGGTCGCTTGCTCCCGTCGCTTCCATACGGTTTTCTTCGTCGCGCGACTGGCCGAGCGACTGCGAAGCGGGTCGCCGTCGCTTGTCTCGTTGCTCGCCAAATCGCTTACATGCGGTTTATACGTAATTAATTTTGATGCACACAGCATTGAACCATTGGCAAACCGCGTGCAAGTGATTTTACGAGCAATAAGAAAAGCGACGGCGATCCGCTTCGCTGTCGCTCGGTCAGTCGCGCGACGAGGCAAACCGTATGGAAGCGACGGGAGCAAGCGACCAAGCCGGTGAGCGACGTTTTCCAGAAATCCCAAAACCGAGTGACGTGACGGGTGACAGTGAGAAGTGTTCGTCGCTGACTCTCGTCGTTGCCGCCGTTATTCGTCTCGTCGCAAGCTAAATCACTTACATGCGGTTCGGCTTTACGGACACTATGTCTAAAGCGCGCACATGCAGCGAGAAGCACGACTGATAGCCTTACTGCAACAGTTGAAATTTTAACGTGTCGCAATGGTGTTGACTGCCCTTTCTTAACGACCAAAACGTATGAATGTGCAGTGGCGCACCAACTTGTTTTTAAGTGTGGGGGCAAACCAGACCCCCCCCCCCCTCCCCAGGGCCGGGGGGCGGTGCCCTTGGTATTCCTTGGCAGCCGCCGGCCAGCGTTTGCCCTGCCCAGTGGTGGCTGCTTCAGGGGGGAGGGGGGGGGGGGGGGGGAAGGGGGCGGCGGCAAAGCACCTGCCTTGCCCCCTCACTCTGAGAACTGGGGGGGGGGGGGGGGGGGCCAGCGCCCCCCTTGCCGCCCCGGTTGGTACGCTCATGTGAATGTGATTAACTTACATGATCTCTGAAGCAAAGGCCATAATCTTGCACTGTCGATCTATTAGCTGTCTGATCCCATTCCATAAATAAGAAAATACAAGGGCTATGTTGAAATATAGATATGAAATGATTGAATGAAAGCCCGAAATATCGAAAAGACCTAAAGAAAACACACAATTTGAACGCGGAACGTAAAAGAACACGAAAACAAAGCTCCGGTGGTGGCCGGTGCAGCACACAACGCGGAGCAACGGCGAGAAACTGAAGGTCGGCTATGGTGGCAGGGTCACGTGACGTCAAGATGGCGGCGCCCAGGAAATGTTGCCTGAAAAGGTCTATAGGTAGTGTACATCCGCGATACTGTGTCAGAGAACCACATTCCCATTCATCAATGCTTTTCCGGCAACAGCCTCACTCTAGCCGTGTACGTTTTGATTTCCTGCGGCATCATTGGACGGCAGAAGTCACGTGAAATATGTGCTTCACTATCATTATCACTGTTTCGAATCGCCACCCTGAGCCACCATATCGTGGCCAACCAGCTTCTGCTTGGTTGCCGCCGTCGCTCATAGATGGCGGTAGCTGTCCAGAGTTTTGTGTCGACATTTATTTGCTGGCAGACACGATCCTGGGGAAACTATAGCCCTTAACAGCTCCGCTGTAAAAAAGAAGAGAAGCCAAGCGCGAATATTTTGTGGTCACGTACGCACGCACCGACCCAGCAGCTCCCGAGAGAACTTTTCTCCACTCGATCGAGCGGCCCCGGAGAGCGTCATGTTACCTTACCCGGCTCAAGTGCTGCGTCGTCGACGAATGTTGCCGCACGCTTACATAAGTCCGCGCAACATCCATTGCACCACATTAGACAACATCTTGGCAATCACCCCATAGCACTGCCAATACTGCTGTCTCATCTGGCTGACGTATTGCCTCGCGATTCCACCAGTTCACGCCATCGCGAGGTAACCCTCAGCACGAGGGTTTAAAAAGAAGTCGGACAGAGGAATAAAGGAAGACGAGACGGAGCGAGCAGCGAGACGGCATGGGACCATCGGCCTGAATAAACGCCGACAACGCTCTTTCATCATTATTATAAATTTGG